GGGGGGACGGCCGGGGGGCGGCCCCAGTTGGTGGGCTGGAGGAGCCACGAGGCAGGCAGCAGGAGGCTGCTTTGGCAACCAGGACTGGAGGACTCTCGAGCTGGGTGACAGGTGGCAGGAGGCTGCTCTGGAGGCCAGGGTTGGATCCGCTCCGTGGGAGCCTAGGTGGTAGAGCGGCAGTAATTGGGGGAGACAGTGGGGTCAGCAGGCGAGACAATGGGGCCAATGACAGTGGTGGCATGGCACAGAATCCAGGTGGGTGGGGGACAAAAGCACCATCCATCTGTGGTGGTAGGAGGTAAATTCCGGGCGGGGGGCAAGGTGCAGGGTCAGACACAGGTCTCTGGGCAATGTTGGGGGAGAGAAAGGCGAGATGTGGGGCTGGGCAAAGGTTTCTGTGCAGTGGTGCTTGGGCTGAGGGCCCTAGGCCCAGGTACTGGCTGTTTGTGTTTGGGGGGCAGATAGCATGGCCCTGGCATATATACTGGTGATGTGGGGGGGCAGATTGCAAGGCTGGGCACAACTACATGTTCTTCTTCGAGTGATGTCCCTATAGGTGCCCCACTCTTGTTGCTTGTGCCGTGCATGCGCCCTGGCGCCTCCTTGTACCATTGGTGTCCATTAGGCGCGCGCGTGCCATGGCCCTCCTAAGTTCCTTCTCTACCATTCTCAGTGGCAGATGAAGCTTCTTTCTCTCGCCTATTTTTTCACAAAAAACAACAACAAATAGTTAATTCTGCTCAGTTTTCCTCATCTTTCCAAGTTTGAGTCCCTCCCAACTTCATACCAAAAAAACAACCCTCCCTCCCCCCCTTCCCCCCCAAAACCAGGCTTTTTCTTCATCGTTTACCTGGACTTCATCTTTTTCCTTATGCCTGGATCCCCAGATTTTAAATGGTGTGAGTCCTGTTGAGACACTATGCCTGTTTCTAACGGGCATGCCTCATGCATAAAGTGCCCATCTGATGCACTGCTCCAATCTTACAGAAACAGCACACTGCAACCGTGCCAATAGGCTGAAAATGTATCTTTTTGAAAAGTCTCTTCAGCCACCACAGGAAGACTCCATGCAGGCCTAGACTGTCAGACAAGCCAAAAGATATGGACAAAGTTAGTCCCCCTACCTCTTCTGCCAAGTCAAAGTTGAATACCTGGGTTTCCCCAGCCAGATTGCCACCCCCGGTACCCAGCTTGTTGAGAGTGAGTGTCGGCATCTCCGGCACAGCACCACCTAAGTCATCGGTACCACACAAGAGGGCCCATTCTGAGCCCAAACAAAACCAATCGGTACTGGTGGCACCGACCATACCTTCCAAATCCAGGACACCTGCGAGGCACAGGTTAGCACCAGAGGCAGCACCAAATGCAACACTGAAAAGACCCCTCACTGAGATGCCTCCTCCCAAACCACCATCCCTGATGGCACCAGTAGTAGCGAGTACCTCACACTCAGCCTCTGCACTGCCACCAGATTGCGCACAGCACCGTACGTGCCCTGCAATCCAGGCCTCATCAGCACTGCAATCTCCATGCTTATCAGTGTGGTCCATTCACTCTGGGTATGTCTACACTACAGCGCTAATTCGAACTAACTTAGTTCGAATTAGTTAATTCGAACTAAGCTAATTCGAACTAACGCGTCTAGAACTAAAAACTAGTTCGAATTAGCGTTTTGCTAATTCGAACTAGCGCGTCCACACTGATTGGACGCAGGGGAGCATTTAAGGGCGGCTGAAACCGGTTCTGGCAGGGCATCAGGTCAGTAGTTGCTTTGTGTGGCTGCTGTCTGAGGCTATCTGAGGCTCGTGCTTAAAGGGACCCCCCCGGACAGCCGGTTCTCAGCTTTTCCTGTTTCCTTGCCAACCTCGCCGAGGGACAGCAAAGCGTTGGTCTCTGTGCCCGTCTGTGTC